CTTTTCTTTGCCTGTTCGAGACTGTGCTTTGTCTTCCTGTTTCATGCAAAGGGGAAGGCACTGCGTGATGTATGTCATGCAACGCCGAAGACCACATTGCTTCCAATGGCCTTTTAATCCTTGGGATTATAATTTTGAACACAGGTCACACGGATTGCAAGAAACTGCAGGCCACAGAACCTCTGCTTGTGTGTGAAGATAAAGACTGTAAGGATTCCTAATTTCTGAAAAGTGTCAGTCAAATATTGTCTAGTTAATAGTATAGTTAATCCTGTAGCTGCTGCTGAATAAAACCACCAAACAGCCAGGTGATGAGGAGTGAGAACTACTGCTTATTGATGAGTGAAATTTGTTCTATCAATAGGTGCAGAGAGAGCTAGAAGGCCTACCAGGTCAGGCAGCAGCATGGAACCTAGCAGCACTGACATGCATCATATGCAGGACTGAGCAAGAAGGGGATTGACAGATGAAATGTCACTACCTTACATCAGAGGCAGGTAAGGTTAGCTTTAGAAAACCCCTGAAGATTTTAAAGCCAGATAGTCAAGTTGTCTCTGAAAGGTCACTGCTGACTCTAGAGATTTAGACTTGACATGTACAACTATTGTCTGTGATCTGACTGTAAATGTTCCATCATCTGGCAGTATCTGTGCATGACTGTAATGCTTGAACAAGAATGAAAACATGTAAAGACCAAATCAGAAAAAAACAACACTCAAAAAAGATAGAGTGAAATCAATTAATTAGTTCCTATTCTGATAAACACCAGGTACTGGGTATCACATACGCTAACTGCCTGCCTGCAGCCTTTGCCAGGCTTAGGGTTCCCTTGTGTACCACCTGCCAGTTGTCTCGGTAGGACCTTTGGAGGTCCCTTCTCTATCGCTGTGTTTATGACGCTGTGCAAAAATCTGATTAATGTTCATATTTAGTATTTAGGCAGTGCTAGTTATTAATGTCCATCTCTGAGCTTTAGTGGAATGGCCAGTTCCTCCATCTGGAACCACTACCCTGTCCTCGTCCTTTCTGATAGACGTAGTCTAATCTTTTGCTGCTGCTATACTTCTAAAGACGAAGAAAGTAAGGCATCAGGAGACTTGGTGTGGTGCCTAACTTAGAGACCTGGCCTTCTACCGCTCAAGTCCTTCTGTTAGTTATAAAATTACCCATCCCAGCTGTTGCTGGAAGTAACAGTTCTTCCTGTTGGTTATTCAGCAGCATTAGTTATCAGTGACTGGTGTGCCAGATATTCCGGGGTATGGCCTTGAGGTGTAACTTCCAGAGAGTGAGGCTAAATGACTCTCAGCTCCTCAGGACCCCATCAGATCAACTCTCAGGGCCCTAACAAGGTTTGTCTCCTCCACATCAGTATTGACAGTGGGACTCCACCCAGGGTACAAACATACATAACAAAGCCTGGGGCAGTTTCTGGGGAGCCTGAGCTGCACCCCTGGGCAAGTCTCTCAGCAACACACAGAACTGATCCCATCTCTTCCTATTCCTGAGTTACATTTTTTCACTGCACACCTCATGAATAAATGATTTGTCAGGGTTACTCCTAAGGCCATTTCTGACATGACCCACAATTTCTGTTACTGTTTCCAGCTACTGTAGGAGGGTTTGCAGCCCTTTTATGTTCGTAGTGAGCCTACACACTATCTTTTAATGAAACGGGGAGCACCTGACCTCAAAGGTGGGTGCTGCTGGGACAATGAAATAATCTTGATTTCAAGAAATTTGGCTTTCCTTCGTGGGTATTTTGTTCTTGTTTTCTTCATGCACGTAAGGCTAAATACCTCTTTTACAGACTCTGAGAAAGACTTGCAGAGCCAGGGAAAGTGTTGGGCTGAATGGGAAGGTGCATCCCCTCCTGTCCACAATCTCTTTATGGATATGGTGAGGAGCTTCTAAAAGTGGCTGGTGCTGCATTCCCCCACTGTCCCCGCCTGTGCTGGGGAAGGGGCAGAGGTAGGAGAAGAGGGAAGGGAGAGTTTGGCTAGCACGTACTTTACAAGAGCAGTAGCAGCACTTGTTATCAGGGCAGATGTGGGCTGCTCTGCACCCAGGAGTTCTGGCTGCAGCCACAGTAGGGTGGAGGGGCTTAGTGTGCTCCAGGTATTCCTTGCCCTATTCTGTGAGGAGGAGTATTTTCAAATGGTATTGCAGCCAGCATGCCCTGGGGTGAATCTTAAACGTAACCACATAGTAAGACCTTTGAAACAAATTCTCATTATTATTAGCCTATTCTTATAAGAGCTAGGGGTAATAAAAACGTCCTCAGAGTTGGTCAGGGCTTGTGTGCAATTCAGAAATGGTCATAACTGATAGAATCATAGAATCGTTTAGGTTGGAAAAGACCCTTAAGATCACCCAGTCCAACCATTAACCTACACTACCATGTCTACCACTAAAATAATTAAGGATAGAGTAATAATTTCATGTTTCCTGGCTTGGTGGCTGGATTATTTTTTAATGAAAGTAAAAACTAGGAATCACTAAGGTTGGAAAGGATCTCTAAGATCATCAGTCCAACCATCAACCCAACGCCACCATGCCCACTAAACCATGTCCCAAAGTACCACATCTACCTGTTTTTTGAACCCCTCCAGGGATGGTGACTCCACCACCTCTCTGGGCGCCTGTTCCAATGCTTGACTACCCTTTCTGTGAAGAAATTTTTCCTAATAGCCAATCTAAACCTCCCCTGGCGCAGCTTGAGCCCATTTCCTCTCATCCTATCACTAACTGCTTGGGAGAAGAGACCAACACCCCCCTCACTACACCCTCCTTTCAGGTAGTTGTAGAGAGCAATAAGGTCTCCCCTCAGCCTCCTCTTCTCCAGACTAAACAACCCCAGTTCCCTCAGCTGCTCCCCATCAGTCCTGTGCTCCAGACCCTTCCCCAGCTTCCTTGCCCTTCTCTGAACACGCTCCAGCACCTCAATGTCTTTCTTGTATAGAGGGGCCCAAAACTGGACCCCGTATTTGAGGTGCGGCCTCACCAGTGCCAAGTACAGGGGCACAATCACCTCCCTGCTCTTGCTGGCCACACTGTTCCTGATACAAGCCATGATGCTGTTGGCCTTTTTGGCCACCTGGGCACACTGCTGGCTCAGAGTATATTGCTGCAGTGTCCAAGTGCTTTGCCTAATAATTTGTCTTCATTGTAAGAGTTCTGAAGAGTGTGAGACAAAGTTTTGTATGCTGCTGAGTGCACCATGTTTTCTATACAGGGGGAGCACCCTGACCGGTACCTGTAAACCTTCCCTGTCTCTGTTTTGCCCAAGCATCATGGTTATGCTGTTTGGAGGAGCTGGTGAAAGGAATCCTTGACTTGGCAGACTGAACCCAAGAACTGTGGTGTCTAGGACACTCCGTGGCCAGTTGGGCACAGCTGCAGCAGGCAGTTTGTCTGTGTTTCCAGCGTAGCATGAGTGGTACAGGCTGTGGCAAGTGTGAGGAGCAGCGCTGTGTGGGAAGAGGGAGGGGATCTCCTGTGTGGCAGAAATACAAAGTAGGAGGATTTTAGTTTCCGAAACGTAACAGTTGGCCTTCTAGGGGTGTTATATGGGAAAAACTGACGGCACTGTGTCTTTTGCCTGCTTGCAGCTAGTTTGGATGTCATCTTTTGATAGAAGGGTTTCACCTAGCACTTTTAAGAGTATAAGCAGCTTGGTACAAAAAAAAAGTGTACATTTTTAAAACTAGAAGGGTCTGTTCCATACCAAACCTACCTGATTGTTTCCAACCCATGACAGGAACACGGGCAGATCCCTGAATAGACCAAAGACTTAAGTGAAAAGTGTGTTGACTGACCTATTCTTTGAGATCCATCAGGAAGAAAGTGTAGAACATGCTGAAGGACAAGTGATGGTGTCTGTGTGGGAAGTTTGTTCAGGCTTCATTGGCTGTGTGTTAGACTAAGGAACTAACAGGGCAAATGTCAAATGCTGTAGGCATGGCATTTTCTAGAGGGACTCATCTCTCTTCACAGGTCTGACTCTCCCTTGCCTTGACCTATTTGTCATCACATGCAGTGTGGAAAAGAATCTGTTAGAAACTGCTTCTGCATCAGAATTCATCTGTTCAGTTGAGAATGAGGTTGGATTTTAAATACTGTCTTCACTGTGCACACATAAAAGCAACCACAAGCTACAGGGATAGAAGCAAACCCTAGGGTACAGTGGAAATAGAAGCAGGGGGCGGGGAGCAAGCAAGCTGTCTACACATAAAGCAGAGATGGAAGTTTGCATATGCGTTTGTGTAAGGCAAGACATTTTGGAATTGAAACCCAGCAGCAGGTAATGATTACAGGCAACATGTCTGTGCCTATGTACAATTTTGCTGAGCAGCTGTCTTTTGTTTTGCAGGGGCCTGGGGGTCTGAGGAGCTGTACGTGGCTCTAAAGAGCCCATTGCAGCCGCTTTCAGTTTTGGAACCGGGGCTGATTTTGCAGCCTGTGGGGAAGACAGTATTCTTTCACTTGGTTTCATGGTATCCATATGGAGTTACATTGGCTCTGGAAAATAATTCAAGAGTCTTCTGATCCAGAGTGAAGGAAGGTGAAAATAATTAACAGATTCAGAATCAGAGAATCTGAATGGATGGATGGACTTACTATACATTGCAGTCTGATAGTTAAATCCGTGAACATTTCTAGATTCATTAGGAACTCTAAGTCAGAATGAGATAGTCTAAAGAGCGCTGAAGTTCACACACTAATTTAATTTGCATTAATTTTCAATTGTATATCAACTTGCAAAATCCTTTGAAAAATCAAATTACACGACGTTACATTCTTGCTGCATGGTTGCTTAGCGCTGCTTGTTTAAGAATTGGATGACGTAAAATAAAATCTTTTCCCCGCCCCGAAAGAAACAGGAACAGTGCAGCCACAAAAAGCACAGTGCCTTCCCACAGTGTCAGGCGAAAGAGTACTTTTGCAGGAAAGTCGTGATACAAGCCCACCCTAGCGTGCTTTTGGGTTGTATAGCTCGAGACATGACTGAACAGACAAGTGAAGTTGGTCACCTCAAGATGCGAGCTTGCTTGCTGCTGGTGGTATGCCTATGGCAATGGACACAGCAAACTCTGGCAACAGACTGCCAGAATGGTGAACTGAGGATAATCAGTAAAGATGAAAAGAAATGCTGCCCCAAATGCATCTCAAACACAGGTAAGGGAATGATGTGTCTGTCTTCTTTCTGTTTGTCAATATTGTTTTATGTCAGCCAGGGCAATCAAGTGTGGGAAACAGGCGTGTGTGTATGTAAATGTATCTTGAGTAAGTGTTTATGCAAAACAAAATGGCAAGGGATTGCCTCCTGCCTCCTAAACTCATAACGGTGCCTTAGCTATAAACTTCAGAGTAGACTCATGTTTCAGATTTGTTACACGCTTATACTTGCTACTCTGTAGTGGGAAAGGGAAAACTAAGTTTCTGTGGGTTGGTCTTGCTCACTAGGAAGGAAGGTGTTCACTTAACACTGATCCTGAGCCCTTGTTCCATTCAAACGATTTCAAAGTTTGTCTGTGCCATTCAGACTTCAGAGGGAATACAGGGAGTGATGCTGTCTGTAATGCTGTTCTTTGCAATTTGTGGTCCTAAAGAGTAGGAAGCATCCCACTTCAGTCTCTCTATTCCACTAACCTGTGCTTGTCCCAGAAGTAAATGCAGACAAGGTCTCAGGTGATCATTAGTTTCAACAGCCTGTTCTAACTTGTATCCTTGCCTGATCTTAGGATGGTGGTGAGATGGTAATGGATTCTCACTTGTCTGTAATTTTAGGTTAATGGTTTAGGTAATTTGTAGGTTAATGGTTGGACTGGATGATCTTAAAGGTCTTTTCCAACCTAAACGGTTCTATGATTCTATGATTAAGTCAGATGAAGGCACTAGAGGTGGAACAGGCTAGCTGCAGGACTTACTGTGTGACATTTCTGTGCCTGTTGGGCTGAAGGACAGAACAGGTGATTCTAATGGCCTCTTCCGTGGTCCCAGCAACAATCATACTATTCTTCTGAATTTAGTGCTGTCCCTAATGGTAGCCAGAGCTGAACAGGAGAGAACATGCAGCTGTCTGTATGACCTACAGCAAGGAATGCACCTTTCTTTTCTGTTGGTCCCAAAACAGGGTTGCTGGAAGCCTTTAGTATGGTAGTGCTGTTGCCCTGCAGGTTAGCAACAGGATTAACCGAGAAGTCACATCTTCCGTTGGTGCCTAGGTAGGAGTCAGCCTCCCACCTATTCGCTTGAATAGATCTGCCTCAGCCCATGACAAGGACAGTGAGTTCCCTGTGGAAGGAGTGAGCAGACACATGGGATTTGTGGGAATGAGCAATAAATAGGTGAAGAGCTATAGCATCCTCAGTAGTGTGAAAACACCAGGGTATTTCCCTTCCCACTGAGATAAAGTCATTCAGCATGAGGTAGGAGAGTCATTGCTTGGTGGGATCAACTCCAGAATCACCCACTAGTGATACACAGAAAGAAGCATCCCCAAGCTGTTTCCTTTTTGCTACCAGACTTCACTGAAGTTTTGAAGGCCAGTAAGAGGAGGCCAGTGGGCAGAGGAAGATGTAGGCAGTTTCCCGGTGACCCTGTGCATCACCAACCTCAGCAAATAATCTTTGCTTGATCTTTGCTACTCACTGTGGGGTTTTAAGCACACTATTGAACTAGCCAGCATTTCCGTCTATATTTTTTTTTCTTTAAGGTTATACGGCTTCCTGGTTGAACAGCACTTTTTCTCTAACTGGTCTCCAACTGCCTGAAGGACTGCTTGATACCATTTACTGATGGGATCAGTGTAGAGATCAAGCCTTTGCTTTCATGAAGCCAGAGGCCTCTCAGAATTAGAGATGATACTTTTTGAGTGCAAGCAAAGTTCACAACAGAACTCCTCTAGAAATAGACAGAGGGTAGGAAGGGCGCTGGTTTTATGGCTTGGATTTAGACCCACTTCTGCCAACAGAGTGTAGGAAGCAGCTGCTGCTGTTAGGAAAGGCGTGGAAAAGGAGCTCTAGCTTCGCTGGCCAAGGATCTTTTGGGCATCCCTCCTCTAACACGACTGAGCCTGAGAAGAGTTCTGGCAGCATCCTGAGAGCTGACTGGATGGCTGGTTAATGTGTAGTGCTTCTTTGGGGCGCTGGTAGTGCCTTCCTCACCCCACAGTGGCTAAATCTGTACAATGTAGTAAAGCAAACCTGCTGCCTTACTTCTGTCTACCATGACCTACACTGGTATTCCAGATAAGAGAGAAGGGTTATAGTGGTTAACTCATGCAGTGCTCAGATAACCATGGTGTAAAAATCTGAGTGGCGCTGAATTGGAGTATTCTAAACTTTATGGAGTATGCATGGGTGTGACATCTTTCTGGTATCCATTTTTTCCACCACATATTTCACCTGTGTCAGCCAGTAAAACTAATGATTAAGTTAATTTCTGGCCTCTATGACAAAGGCAAGTCTAACTTCTTTCTTCTTGACAGGAGACCACAGCACATGTCAAAATATTGAGGACCATGACTGCAAATGTCGTCAGGGGTACAGCTGTACTGATAGTGCATGTCACTACTGCTCAAAACTGCCTGAATGTGCAGAAGGCGAGGAGCTGGTTAAGCTTGGTAACTAAAGAAACACAAATGACTCTGAAAGACAGAGTTTAATATAAGTGGCTGGCTGAGCAGCAGACAGTTTCCTTCACTTGTTATAACCTGCTTTTGGGAAGGCTCGTGATGCAGAGATAAATGGCATTTATACTGTGGCTTCTGTGACTAAAACCCTTGCTTCCCTATTTTCTAACTCCTCCCTTCCTAAATTTGAGACTTTCACTTTCATGCTCAGACTTTCAGTATTACTTTTCTTCCAAGCTGCTAGAACTGTTGTAGCAGACTGTTTTACTCTGTGTTGCCTCTTAACTTCACACCCCCTGCTGTCTGATCAGACTATTCTGTACCTCTCCTGTAAGGGGTCCGCCCATACGTTTCCCAGAATGTAAAGGTGGCAAGAACTGCTTATGTGTTTCTCCAGGGGAATGATTCATAATGCAGAAAGAGTGTGGAGGGAATGCATTGTGCTCTAATCTGTTGTATCCCCATCTTTCAGTAAAGGCACTGACCACTAATAATTCATGTTCTCTTTTCTTGTAGGCATTTTAGACTTCACATTCAAATGTAAACCATGTGAGACAGGAACCTACTCTAATGTTAAGAATGGCTGGTGCCGTAACTGGACTGAGTATGTATTTATTGATACTTTCCTTCTTTGGAAATACGCATGATAAAGTTCTCAAATGATTAATACTTAAATTAGAAAATAAAATTGAATCAAAGATCAGATCACCAATGAGATTAAATGATTAGTTTTTTAAATTCAGCAATATATGATATTTCTCTCTCCTTTGGCTTTATAAATAGTCAGTCTCAAAGCAGAACTTAAGACAAACTGCCGTGTATTCAACTTGCTTCCAAGTCCGGCTCAAACTGATACAAAATTATTCCAAATGTGGACATCACTTGAAACAAAGAGACAAAAAAAAATGTGCACATAAACAATTGTGATGTAGTGTTATCTTGTTGGGGAACAGCCGTAACTTTACCTGCACTGCTATAAAAAGGAAAAAAAAGGAACAAGTTGTGGAAAGAGAGGAGGGAAGGAAGAAAGGGAGCCAAGAGAAAGGCTGGAGAGGAACAAAGGGAAAGGCAGGGACATTCTAAATGTGACTCTTATTCTTCTTTTAGTTGTGAAAGTTCTGGGTTTCTAACAATCAAGCAAGGCAACAGTACACATAATGCAGTATGTGGTTTCCCTGCTAAAGATTTGGAGCAAGGTACCTTCTCATAATGATTTGTTTCTTTGAGCCTATAACTTTTCTCTACATTTCTTCAGTTGGTGTCTTGCTGCATAGTTATCATCCAGAGCTTGCTATCATGAAAATTTGCTTTGAAAATTACTGTTGTGTTTCTTGCAATATTAATATAGGTAGAATTGTTGACCTGGGCAAAGATTCCACCATTAGAGCACTGTCAGTAATTAAAGGTAGAGAAATGCCCAACAATTGTCCTTGAATAGAGCACACCTGGCAAAACTAGAGTTTTCCATTGAACTGCTCTTGCTGATTTGCTAGATTTTCTTAGGAAGAAAATAGCTTAAAATCATAGAATCATAGAATCATTTAGGTTGGAAAAGA